TGAATTAAACAGTTTGAAAGAATGAAGGATATTGGTTTTATTTATTTTTATTTTAAAAGAGCTTGGTTTTAGGGTAACTATTTCTCTTATTTTTCTCTCTGTTCAGTAGTTGCCTAATGTGGCCAAGTACATGACACTTGCCTCCATAGCTGCAGGTATCTTGGAAGATGTTGTATTTTATACAACACTTTTCACAAAATCCATCATTCTCAAAAACTATATATATTTTTTTGAAAAGCATAGCCTATATGATTTTTATAAGGCTAATCTCTATATTTTTTCATAGGTTTAGATATTGGGAAATGAAGTATTGTGGTTCCCAATGTTGTGAATGAAAGGAACCTATATAAAATGTATTAATACATTTTATATATAATTTTCATCAAATATTTTTACTCCCTGCTATGTGAACTGATATGCTGTAGTTACACAAACTGGAAGTCTTTCTTTTTTTTCTTTTTTTTTCTTTTTCTTATTTGTACTTCTAATAATACTCTATTATTGCTCAGCATTTCACAGTTTGCACTTTCATCATGCATAGGTTAGTGGGAGTTTTTTTTCCAGCCATGGACAAAGGACTGCATGCAACTTTTGATGTGGCATGCTAGGAGCTTGTGACTACTCCATTATTATTATTTTTTTTTTTTAACCATGTAAAAGTTTCATGCTTAGCTCCTATATATCTTTACATGTATGTGTGGTTATGAAGGATAAGAGAGAACTTATTGTTTTCAAGAACTGTAGGAATGAGAATGATTTTCATTTTTATTTGCTTATCCTTGAGGAAAGTAACATCATTTGAACTACATTTTATTCTTTCGTATTTTTATTTTACAAGTCGGGCGTGGTGAACTTGGGTTTATATTTTTAGCCTGACCCCCCCCCCCTCAAAGATCATCTAATTAGAATTTTATCATTTTGGGGATTTTATAATGAATGAATACTGAAGTCATTCTGTGTCTTCATATGCATATACATATATATATATATAGTAATTTATTTTTGAAATTTATATGCTTTTTGCTGTCTTCTTAACCCGTTCTGACAAGTGGCAGAATACAAATAAAAATCTTGCTTGCCTGACAGTGTTCCCTGTTAAGTGTTGCCTTTTGTGTGTAGCAGGAATCTCTAGGACTTCCTACTTATAATCAGGGTTGCTGACCATTGCTATTTTTAAGAAAACTGTGTAACCATTCTTCTTCTTTTTTCTGAAAGGTTGTTAAAAGTCCTTGTTAAAAATATTCAGTGCAGCTAAAGAGAACAAGTGAGAAATGAAAGTTTGGCAAGGCACAGAACTGTTGTATTATAAAAGAAAAAAAAAAAAAATCTTCCGTGATCCTTAAATGTATTTGAGTACAAATATCAAACAAAGTGTCTCTCCAGGTATGAGCCCAACTGCTTTAGGGTTAGTCTGGTGTGTGAGGCATTTGGTCTCAGAAGTTTATTTCTTACAAAGGTAGTTTTATAACATTAGCCACATAATTTGTTTTAAATTTTCCATCTGTGTGTGCGTGTGTATGCATGTATGTATGTGTGTGTGCAAGATTGGCGTACAGTAGATTTACATTTATGGATTTTGTGTAAGAATTGTTTTCCTTTTACTTTATTTTCTAGAACAATCTATAAATAAACTTCAAGTGTTATTTGCAGCACAATCTGCCCATAGCACCAAGGCAGACTACAGATATTTCATACAGACCTTTATGAGATCAACATACATATGAAAGCACTTCAAAGAATGGAAGGGGGAGTGGGAGGTTGAAAGGTATGAGGAAAGCACTAAGTGTAACTGAAGTCTTTAGAATTTGGAATGAATAGTTTCTACAGCTTAGCGCATAGTCTTTTGCTAATGGTGTGGCTAGTTAAATTCATAGATTGCTTCCTTTCTTTTCCTATCTTTTTTTTTTCCTTTCTCTCCTTCCTTCCCTTCTGTGGCTTGATTGCAAGAATCACAGTTCGCAGCTGGACTTGTGTGAAGGTTTTCTCAGGCTACAACTACAGAAAGCTTCTCTTGCCTCAGAATACTGTGTTCTCAGGTGTAGAGATTAAACCTTGGGAGTTACCTACTTCTTTTTCTATTTCTTCCTTAAAAAAAAAAAAAAAGTTTAAACTATTTTTCATAGTTGGTATAGTTGTCATCATATGGTCAAATGAAAAGGAAAAGGAAATGAAGAAAAGAAAAGGCAAGGTATAATCTTCCTCTCCCTTATTTTTAAAAATTATTTTCATTATTTTGTTTTGTTTTTATGCACTCTGATGGTTTTTACCTTTTAATTCTTATTTTTAATACTTACTATTACTATTTTATTGTTGTTATTTATTCTTGTAAGGTTCAAAGTTTACACCAATGATATAGTTTTGTTTCATTTTCATTTAATATATGTATACCTTTTACTTTTGAGTAATTCTAAAGCCAGATACCATGCAGTCGTGTTCTTCTTATGTGCAAGACAATTCTATGTTAGGAGGCACATTTCTTTTATGTAATTATCCTTTTGTCTCCCCCCCACCCCCCACCCCTACTTTTTTTTTTTTTTTTGATTAGGAGGCACATTTCTTTTATGTAATTATCCTTTTGTCTCCCCCCCACCCCCCACCCCTACTTTTTTTTTTTTTTCATTATTTATTTATTGAAATATAATTCTTGTAGTATAAAAATATTCTTCATTAGTGAAGGTGCTATGGAGTTCCAGCATTGGTGATCTTAAAACTTTGGAGGCCTCTTAGGAAAATGTGGATATATTCCATGTTTAGTGGTGAGGGTCATGGATCCTTGCGCTAAAGGTTAGGTGTAAGCATTTGTAGCCTTAGCAGTGATATTGGAGGTGCGTGTGAATAAAGCATCTGCTAGATGAGTGTGTTTTCAATATCCCTGACGTCCACTCTCACACCTAGCTATTGAGGTTCTTTTCAACATTGTAACAAATGTTGAAAAGGTATGATTGAGAATACATTGTCTAGAGCAAGAAATGCCATCTCATTATCTCGCATTTTGTTGAAGATCTGATGCTGAAATGTGTGTAAACATCTTTCATTTTGAAATGAAATGAACACTTAACGTGTTCCACTAACAAAGAATGAATCTTCCTTTCTATGCTTGATGTTATAATCATTGTACCAGATTTATTTAATGTAAAACATATTTAAAAGTTTTTGAAGACCATCAATCTCCTAAAAATAAGGAGTTATATAAATGGGTAGAGTTGCTGCCTGTGATTATTCTCTTTACATTTCGCAACATAATAGAGAGCAGCAGTGAAAGAGGAGAGGTGGAATCATGATCAGAAGACCACTCCCAATCCCTTGCTTGTTATGGGAGTGGGGGAGGTCACTATTTTTTTTTATTGAAAAATTTCTGTTGTATCAACATTTAAAGTCATTAGTGGTGAATACAAAACATATTTATAGGGTAGGGCTTGAGTGCTTTGCTCCCAAGATTTCCTTAACAATGGACATTGGTCTAAAATAAACACATTTACCAAACATCAAAGGTTACCCAACATTCTGGTAAAGTATGGCAAAAAGGGTAAATATGAGTTAACAATTTAGACAAGTGGACCAAAGGGGATGAAGAGAAGGTAAAGGAAAGGGAGAAGAAAAGACCCTGCCAATTTAGTTGAGGCAAAGGCTGAGGTCCAAGATGAGTGATCCTTATGTTGGATCTCAGTCTCTGCCTCCTCTTCTCCCCCTTTCCTTTTCCTTCTCTTCTTCATACTTTTCTAGCATGCTCTGCCACTATGTTTACATCACATTTCATGTATTCCAGCCACAGATCATTACCCTCCTTTATACTCAATGGCAATCTTTCTGGTCAAGTCTTCTCACTAATAAATATTCTGAAAAACTATCAGTCTCCTCCATGACAGCTCCATTTCATTGGAACACACATTGCGAGACGGCTCTTGCCCACTTATTTATTGACCACACCCATCTAACACACTCATATCTGATCCACTCCTATGTTCCCTATGTAATGTTCACCTTTTAGTTCCACACATCTGTTGTCCTGTCCATGCTTTGCTGCAGCCTGCTACCAGTGCTTTCCCCCACCTATCCTCTCTTCACCGACCTCCCAACCTGTCAGACATCCTTACAGAATCCCACACTTTCTGCTTTGACAACCTGTTCTCCATCCACAGATGCATACATATCCTTCATTTGAACTAAACCCGCTTACCTAATCCTACCTTAACCCATTCACTCATCAACTCTTTTACCCATCTTTAACCTTTCTAATATTACTCTAGATTGTTGACGTATAGCAACTAATTACTCAGCCATCCTTTACTACCCTTTACTATACTGCTACATGACCTTAGATGTCTAGCACATTTATTTTGCTTTTAACCATTAACCATTAACCATTCTTTCTCTTCTGTCCACTTATCCTAATTGTTAACTCATTTTCACCCTTTTTGCAGTACTGTATCATAATGCTATGACCTGTGATGTCTAATACATTTATTTGTTATAACCATTAACCATTCTAGAAATCCACAAAAAACTTTATTACTTGGGGCCGATAATGACCTTAGATGTTGACGCAGCAGAAATTCTTCAATAGATATATAATGATAAAAAGACATGTAACTGGGAGTGATCCCCCAAGCCCTTGCTCATTATTGTCATGGGGGTGCTTAGCAGATGGAGAATGAGGCCTTTGTCTTTTGGTCTCTTCTCCATTCCTTTTCCTTTTCTACTTCATCCCACTTATCCTATGCATTCACTCATTTTTACCCCTTTTTGCCACAATACTTTTCAAAATGACCTTTGATGTCAAGGTCATTTGTTTTTTCCATTAATCATTCTGGAAATCCACAAACATCCCCTTATGAACAAAAAAAAAATCCTTACCTTGGGACAAAGCCCCCTCTTATGAATAGCCACTAATGACTTGAGATGTTAACACACCAGAAATTTTTCAGTAAATAAAAAATAACAGAGTGAAATGCCAGTTCGCTCACAGAGTTAGGGACAGTGAAAAACAAAAACGGCTTTAAATATATATACAGCTGAACTGCTATTAACAAATCACAAGATTCTGTTAATACAAAGGGAATGCAGGAAAGGAACACATACATTCAATAATTTATATTTTTGTCATTTTATTATAACCCAGTTGTTTCTATGACCAAATGTGCAGTTGAATACAAGCAGACAAGTGTCACATGTCAAGTTTTTGTTTCTTCATATCAATTCATTATGTTGTGATTGTAATAAAACTTTAAATTAGAGTATGTTATAAATGTATAAAAGAATTAAGTATTAGATAACAATCTTTTTATAAAAAATGTCAGTATTCAAACTCAGTACAAAATAATACTCAGTAAAGAATTTAAAATAATGTAGTGGCACAATACAGTGCCGCCACAGAAATGACACACTATACTTGGACGCGTATCTAGAAAAATTTGCTACCAATACCTTATCTCTCAGAATTCCTCTCTTCTCTGATAACAATTCTTTTCCTGGGCTTAACCCATCAACCACAGGTACATGTACTGTCCACTGTAGTTTTTTGGTGAATTTTGTTGCTCACAGATGGCTCCACAAGTACTCTGCCACTATAAAGTTAATTAAAAGGCCCTAGTGACCATGTCTCATTCTTTTTCTAATGCTTTTAACACCAATGCTGTTATTGTTTTTTTTTTTAATGTAATGATTACTATAATGTTATTAAAATACTAATAACAATAAAATAAGGAAAAAGGTAAATGGGTGAGATAACTGACTCCTTGATAACTAAGCAATTGTGGAACCATCTGTGTACAAACACATCATCATCAAGGACAAATAGTTCAGTATTGACCAGCTGTGACCAATGACCTTATATGTCTCTCATGACCAAATGCAAGGCAGCAATTCTGTTGCTGATGTTCCAGCAGCTGTTGCCAAGTGGCAAGAAACTTCATGCTGTTCCAGGTGTTCCTTTGAGATCTTGATCACTGATTGAAGTTTATTATGTATAAACACATAAATAAACTAAAATTACAGTGGACATGGTATGTATGTCATGTCATCCATAAGCTAGTAGGTTAAATTTGAGATATCATTCTTGCCTTTCTGTTGGAGTGCTGGCCATCTATTCCCTCAAGCAGGGGAAACGTTCTGCTGAATGACCATGTTGTGGAGGACAGCAGTGGTCATAGTGATCTCTTTGGTGCTGAAGAGTACCATCTGCATCCTTTTCACCAGGAAGGCAAGACACCTCCTGAGAAGGCTGACAAACCACTTTTGACGGCTTTGTGGGTATGAGCATTTGGTGTGTGCTCTAGTTGGGGAGTTCTCACTAGTGACTCATGTGAAGACCCTCTTGGGTATTGTTTTGTCTATTAGCTGCTAAGAACTGAACTGAACAATTTGGTTCAGCCTTTGCTGGTAGTTCCTCTAACATCAAATTTCATTGAATTTTCTTTGAATCCCCCACTTAGTGCATGCAGTGGTCTCTAGTATTCTTCAGCACAATATTAAACAGCTTTGGTCCATTTATTGTGAAACTTTAAAAATGCATATCATTAACAATAGCAGGTTCTTCTGTCTTGGGGAATCTCTTCCTTTAATTATCTCCCTTTCTAGTGCTTGGCAGGGATGTTTTTCATTAAGGTCCTTGCACAATCTGGCTTTAACTGAATAATATCCCTTCCTATGCTTGTATAATTTACACTAGTCTCTAAAGGCTTGGATGACTGTAACATCCAAGCAGGTCATGCATTTCACAAAAGCAATCCCTGATCTCCAAGGTTAAAGCACTGCCTGTAGGTAACTTCACTGTCTCCTGATATATGTTATTATTAACCTGGGTACTCTTGCATTGTATATACCCTGAGTAGCATCTGAGCAATCAGAAAATGCTAACTGGTTTCCAAAGCTAGATGTCCAAAGGTAATAAGCACTTGTAGCTTAGGTAACTGGACTACCTGTTTAGAAAAAAAAAATATGAAGGTCCTAATCAAATAATCACTAATTACTACTAATTACTAATTAATTCAAGAATTGTATATCCATATAAAGTCAATTTTAGAGAGACTGTCAGCATAATTTACCCATTGATGCCATATAATTGAACTGTCCACTGTAATATTGTTTAGTAAATTTTGTTTACACACCTCCACAAGCACTTAGTCACCAAGGAATCAATTAGTAAGCCAACATGACCTCACCTGATACCTCTATTTTTTAATTTATGGGGATAAAAATTCTGATATTGGGATTATTATTATATTGTTATCAATATTAATAACAATAAAAAATAAATAAAAAAAAACTTCCCAAAAATCAAGGAAATGGGTAAACAGGTCAGGTCAGTTAGGATTAATAGTAGAATAGACTCCTTAGTGGCTTGTGGAACTATCAACAGTTATGCAAAATGAATAGACTAAAATAACACTCGCCATCACATCCCAGCATCAATGTTTTAAAGTGCAAAATATTACATTACCTTTGCTATTGTGTGCTTTGGGAAGATCATTTTGGACAAGCGTAATATGGGTTTTTGTGCACACTTTATCCAGCCTTTACTGAATAAATAAATATTCTTCTGAGAGTTTGGAACACATCTGTCTGTCTCGCTGCAGATTTTGTGCTGCTGAAGATTTTCAAGATGCTAATGGCAGAACACTTGAGCTGAAATGGTGAATAAAGAAACTAATAACAATAATCATAGTAAATATAGTATATATTTCCAATAAATTCTAAAGTTATCACATGAGTAGAATAATTGACAGAAAATCTCCTATCAAAATTCGGTTCAAGTTAAAATGGTATCAAAGCTTACATTATTCTCCATTAGGTAAAGCACACACTAGCACAGTGAACCTATATCAAACTCAATAAATATGGCCCAATTGTTTGGCAGGACTACACGGTATCAGTTAAATTTATCAATAAACATAACCTATGAACCAAAGCACCAAAAACAGTGGAAATTACATTCATGTAGAATAAGTCAGCGTGAAGAAAAGAAGGTAAAAGTATTATCACATCTACCTGTCTCTTCTTACCGATCTTACCTTTCTGGACATTGCGGTTTTACGTGACTCCAGATCGTGAAGGTCTGAAGACTGGGGTTATATCTGAGCCAGTTTTTCCTCATGTACCACCTTAATCTTGGTTCTTTGCACACATAAAACTCTCAAAAAAAAAAAAATTGATTCTTGTGTGGAGAAAAATGTCCAAGAGAAATATATTGTATGTGCACTCATTTCAAAAATATGTTTCAATCTGTTTACTTGATTTTATTCCCTGTTACACTTTGAAAAAACACTTCTATTCACTAATGGATAATGGTAGAAAATTTATTCATATATTAAAAATATTTTGTATATGGGGAAGGGCATTCACAAGGTTTCATATTCATTATGTTTCAGTCTCATCCTCCAAAGTACTTGAGACAAAATTGATATTTCTCGATAAAATTTTTGATCTGTCCTTCTTTGATGAGACATCATTTATAGCGTTCTTACTGTCTTTTGATTTCTTCTTTTCTGTGCCTCTATTGCTCGATGAAATTTCCAAGCCATTTTCACTCCATATCATCAACTTTTCACTTTTATTTTTATCTCTGGGTTCTCTGCTGCCTTCTTCATGCTGTGCAGCTTTTCTGCTTGTGTTTGCAAGTGAAGCTTTTGCCTTGGTGCTTGCATGTATGTAAAGTCTTTTATAAGTGTTCCTCTCCTTTTCTTCTTGCTCTCTCTTTCTCTTTCCTCGCTCACTCTGACTTTTTTCCTTCCTCTCTTTAGCTTTGTTGGATGCCAGTGCCCCTGCAAGGAAAGGAAAGGTAGTGATCACTATCATTGTTCCTGCTATTGTCATATACCTCTTTATTATCACTGTTTATCATCATCAACTAAGCTTTAATAATATGTGGGGGAAGAAGTTAATGACTGCTACAAATAATATCACTTATTCTACCAAGCTAACATATTTGATATCACTTACTATCATAGATACTTATCATAATCCTTACTGTTATCAGTCATGAAAACACATCTGGTAAGATAAAACCAACCTAAAATTGTGTTATGAAGGAAGGTTTTATTTGTCGACGGAAGTCTATTTTTCAACCATCCCGACGGTCCACAAGTTTCGGCTCTTTGTGCTCCTCTCTTCGCTTCTCGTAGTAAGGCCTCCTCCGCCAGCCTGTTGGAAAAAGAAAGTAAAAGTAATTATTAATATACCTCTAATTTACATGACCATGATGTTTCCAATTATGATGTTAACAATACATTACACTGCATTAAGGAAAATAAGAAGTAATTCTAACTTGGCAAACCAAAAATTTGACTCTACTATTATTCACGTTCATTTTTTAAGGTATAGCTATAAGTTACATCAGTTCCTAGCCTTGCGTAATTTAATCTAGTTTAGCTAAGCCTTGCTGAGCTTTACCTAACCTAGCCCTATCCTATCCTAAAACAAAATTAAAATATAATTGCTGGAAAGAATACTATATACCTTTTTAAAGATTATAATAAAAAAATAAACACAGTCAAACTTCTGGCCTTTCTTTGTAAATAGCAGACATGACAGAGCAAGTATTAACCATCTTAAACTAATGACATATTCACTGATTTTGGCCATAAGCTTTCTTGAGCATAGCATTTATACTTTATTTCTATATATTTGCAGTGGCTGTACAAAAAAGTTACATGTTTAGTACAAACTAAAATATTTACATGGTATTCACTGCATACAATTTTGGAAATAAGAGCAACATGGAAATATAGAAAAACTAATATAAGCCTCTTAAAGAGCACAAGAGACAAGACCATTGTTTATAATAACCCAACAATCAAAATCAAAGATACACCCACACTGTGGATCTATAGGTTGCTACATTTGTCACAACTTATTTTCTTCATTAACAACATTATCATTTGCCTTATCAGATTATTTCATGTATCAGGGAGTGTAGTTTTTCCCTTTCTTTATGAGAGTGTCATTAGATTTTCCTGTAAATGCATACAAAAATATTACATGTTGCACAATTTTCTTATTATCAACTTGTGAGGGAAGTACCATATATGAAAAGTGTTATACTTTCTGTCATTCTGTCCATTACAAAATTGACCTTGTGCCATATGGCTGTGTGAGACTGAAACTATACCCTTTAACCAAATAGGAAACATGTGCAACATGTAATATTTTGGTAGACATATACAAGGAAATACAATGACATTAACATAAAGAAAGGGAAAAACTACACTTACTGATACATGAAAAAATCTTCACAGGTTAAGAATAACATAAAAAATACCCGACACATGGCATGCATAATAATAAGCCCACAGTGATCAGGTGGGGTTCCAGGGGAAGAGCCCCAGTTGGGAAATACAGCCACTGGGTAAGGGTCTGAGGGTGATGCCCCAAGGGTAGAATGGTTGTTGGTTCATATGGCGAGGTTTTTGGATCCCCGGGAGTGGATGGAGTATATGATATTTTTAGTCTGAAAAGGGGTGCAGATCCTTCATAAACGAACATTTTCTTTAGACTATATCATATGCAATGGAAAATAAGATTTGTGCATGTTACACCGTGAGTAATTGAAACAAGGCATAGCAATTGGCTGCGTGAAACTTAAAAAAAAAACTTTGCTAAATGTCAGACTTTCACTCCAATCAGAACTTACCTTTAACTACAAGCATCAGAAATATGTATCTTTACTCCATTTATAACCCATGTTCAAGCATTTTTTCCTAGTAATTACAGAAGATGGCCATAAATCCCCTTAAATACCTCAGTAACACCTACAATTTCCCTCTTTAAACTCACTTAGATAACTCGTCGTCTGTCGGCATCGTCTCTCTCTCTCGTCTTGATTTAATTCGTGGACAAAAAACACAGAAATAAAGTCAACTGTGGGAATAAAAACACGCCAGCCAGCTCTCTCCCCGTCTCTCTCTCCTCTCGGTTTGTTTACATCGATAAATAGCGAAAACCGCTAATTTCCAGCAGAATTTTGCTATGCTAGCGAGTTCATCTAGCGAAGATTGCTACGGAGTTGAGTGGATTTTGAGTTTTTTTGGTTAATTGGTTGGGGATTTGGGAAAACATGCACGACAGAGGAACAGAAAATATCAATTAAACAAGCCATTAACATTAAATAAAATTTTCAAATAAGAACCCATAGGGGGAGGGTAAATTAACAAACCGTTTGGGTAATGTATAATGTCTAACTGTATAGTGGTTATTTATTCTGGGATCACTCTTGATGTTGAATTTATATAATCTGTAAAAAAAAAAAAAAAAAAAAAAAAAGACATGGGTATTTTAAACAATGCCTTAGAGGGGTTCAGGGATGTGAATATAGCATCTATACCCTTCTTCCACCAGCCTCGCCAGCTCCAAGGTCTATACAAGTACTTTTATAGAACTTGGCCAGATCTAGCTCTACTATTGACTACGAATGTCATCTTAATGACCAGCCGGTATTTTTCCTTTCGTCCATTCTTCTTTAACAAATTATATCAACGACAAGAAAACTGAAACACGAGAATCGCTCAGACTAGGATGGTTATTCTGTAAAAAGCTAACTTTTGTTTAGTGCATTCTTGCCGTGCCATTTAATAATCTCATTGATTTCCATATGCCGCCTTTGCCCCTTCGCTCACTGTTCTTGAGTGACAGATTTCAGCACCGTATGCTTAGGGCCTCAATAGGTCTCAAATCTACGGTATCTTATTGTATATTCGGAATACATATGAAACAATGTCTTATATTCAATACATATGAGAGGGCATTGCAGAGGTTATTCATGCGATTGTCCTCAAACATTAAAGGTTTGGGATACCCATAATGTTTTTTTTTCAAATAAGAGAAATTTGACTGTTTCTCAGCTAAATGTAAACGCCTGTACCAACCCTATGTATATTATTGTTTGATTTTGTTTGGAGGCATGGCACTTCATCTGTCTTCCCACGAAATATGATCTGGTATCGGAAGTTTTACCTGTATCTGTGCAGCCATCTCCCCCTATGTCTTTCTCTTTACGTCCCCCCCCTCTCCCCCCCTCTCTTTGACTGTCCCTCCCCCCCCTCTCTCTTTTCTCTCGTCTTATTTTCTATCTCCACTTCTTTCTCTCACTCCACCCCTATCCTCTTCTAGTACAATTTTATTAACGCTGGAGAGTGTATGCGATGTACAAGGAGGGTAAGTGAGTGGCTTGGTGGATAGGAAGGAAGAAGTTAAAGACAAGTGGTTTCTTTAATTTTAAGAATAATCAACTTGCAGCAACCAGTAATTATATGATCCATTTAGCCGCCATTACTGACGTTTCCAGGGTGCACCACGAGGAGGCGGATCACGTCTACACCCCTTTCCCCCCTTTCCCTTTCCTTTTTATGTCCCTTGTTTTAATCATTTGCGTTTGTCTTTATTGGGGACTGGCGATCTCTACTTCAGGAATCAGGATCATCACTTTCATCGCTGCTGGAGTCCGAATCGGTCAGTTCAGTAGAAAATGTCTCGTACATATGTTCAAAGGCATGGTCTTTTTTTATGTA